ATCAACTCTAGCGTCTGCCGGTGTATCCGCTCGGCCTCCTTGTACTTCCCCTGGCTGTCAAGTACACTCGCAAGGTTGTTCATGCTGGTAAGTGTGTCTGGATGCTCCTTGCCCAACACATTTTCCCTCAACTTCAATGCCTGCCGATGCATCCGTTCCGCACCTTCATATTTTCCTAACTGGTGAAAACTCTCACCTACCCTAGATAGAAGACTAGTCAGTGCGTCCCCGTCTTCTGTACCCTTCCGCAACTCAAGAGCGCGCTGTGTATGCGGAAGATACCGTATCCATTCTTCTCTGTTTTCGTGGTTTGGAAAAGGAAACACGTATGCAAGCCGTTGTAACACTTTGGCGGCCCATTCCCCCTGCTCTCCACTTTGAGCTAACCAAGAGAGCATCGATATTTGAACTAGCCGATGGATGTTGTAAGTATCTGACTCCTTGTGCTGTGAGATGAATGCATATGCCTTTAGAGTCCCAAGTGCGTCAATAGTCTTTAGCCTCCCGGACGGCGGCAGCAGAGCTTGCGGAATATCCTTCCCAGCTAGGAAGCACATAAACCTGAGGTAATTGGCTGCCAGCGGGTCGTGCTCCGAGATGTGCTGGAACGAAATCAGCCAAGTTGTGGCGACAGGGTTTTGGATGTCCTTATATCGATGTCGGTCCTCAAAGTCCCGGCTTAACAGCTCGATCATATCCTCGTCACTGGAGTTGCATAGCTCAAGGTATTGTGTAGTCGAAATCTGCTTCTTGCCCATATAAGCAGAGGCCTGCCGTATTGCTAGGGGGAGATTGCAAAGAAATTCCAGCAGCGCGTCAGTGCTTGCCACATCGCCTATCTGATCCCCCTTCAACCCTTTCTGCAACAGCTCAAGGGCTTCGTCTCTGCTCATTTCTTCAACTGGAATGATGCGACGCTCAGACTCGACTAGCTCTACCGCAACTTCGTGATTTCGCGTTGTGAACAGAATAGACCCTTTCCGGCTGAATGGAAGATAGTCGCCGAGGTCCATGTCGCCAAAGAGCTTTATGTCATCAGCGTTGTCGATGACCAAAAGCCAGCTGCCCGTGCTTTCACAACTCAAGGCTGTCTTGACAAGTGCCTTGGAATCTGCCTTCTCCTCGTCGATCCCGGGTACCTTGAGCTGCTG